GAAGGATCGCTGGAGCCCAGCAGGTCGAGGCTGCGGTGGCCGGGAGCGGCCATTGCGCTCTAGTCTGGGTGACAGAGTGAGATGCCAACTCAAAAAAAAAAGAAAGAAAGAAAGGCTCCTTGGCTACCTGAGGCCGGGCAGGGCACGGGCAGATATTTCTGTGTGGTCCAGGTCATTGGTCTCGTGCACACGGTACAGACCCGAGGTGGGGGCATGGGGAGGGAGGAACTGTGGCTGCCGCCCAGCCCCTGGTGTGGCCCAGCTCTCTGGGAAAGCTGTTTTAGGGCAAGCCCATCCCCTAGATCAGACGCCACCTGCAGTCCCCACTCCCCTGCAGGCCTTTGCCCCGGGTGCTCACCTGGGGCGTGTCTGCACAGCAGTGCTGTCGGGGGCTGTTCTTCCCATGATCCCTCTGCTCCCATGGCGGGTCTGTGTTAGCATCTCAGGTGCTTCGCGCAGGGAGCTTGCTCCAGGGAACTTGCTCGGCCTCCAGGAGGCTGACCGGGCAGGCCCAGGTGGCCAGCGGGCTGCTCGGTCACCCCCTCGCCGTCACTCTCTCTTCTCAAGACTGGCTGGGAGCCTCGAGCTGGGGCCTTCGAACGCGTCCCTCCCTTTTCTCCCTCATGGTCTGTCGATGTCCTCCTCACCCGAGCGTCTCCCTCCACCAGCTCTGGCCTGCCCACCCAACAGCAGGTACTCGCTGTGTGCCAAGCCATGCCCTGACACCTGCCGTTCAGGGTTCTCCGGCACGTTCTGCCCAGACCGGTGCGTGGAGGGCTGCGAGTGCAACCCTGGCTTCGTCCTCAGTGGCCTCGAGTGTGTCCCCCGCACCCAGTGTGGGTGCCTCGACCCCACGGGGAACTACTTCAAGGTGAGCAGCCGGGTGGGCCGCCAAGGACGGGCTCCCCACCGCCAAGTCTGCCGCGAACTCGGACTAGCCCTGAGCTAGAGGAGAGAGAGTGGGAGGGGGAAGCCAGAGGATTTAGGGCCGGGCGGAGGGAAATTTGGGCTCGGTTTGAATCTCCCTTTTCCTTTCTTGAGCTCCGATACTTTCCCTGAGACCGGGATGGAATCCCAGTGTAATTATTTCCCACACTGCCTCACAGAGCCCGAGACCCCGAGTTCTGTCCCCTCCCCTCACGCCTGCCACTCTTCTCCGCTGTCACGGCACTGAGTCATTTTGCCCAGATTTTCTCTCCTCTGGAAGCTGAGCATTTCTGTGCCTCCCTCCTGCCAGACACCTCTTCTCTCAACCAAGGATGCCGTCCTCGGCCAACGGGGCTCCTCTCTTCCCATGCCCCCTTCCCAGACTCCTCAGAGGCAGCATTTGAAGCCAGACGACGGCGGCGCTTCTGTCTTCCTTCTTTGTCCGGCCATCCCCCAGGCCTGGGAGTGGCCCCGGTGTCCACCCGATTCTCCCCCTGAGGTCCACGGGCTTTCCACCCCCTCGGCCCCCGTTCCGGGCCGGGCCTCTGAGTGTTCTTGACCCCAGCCTTGCTCTCCTCCAGAAGTCTCCTTTGGTTTTTTGTTTTGTTTTGTTTTGTTTTGTTTTTGAGTCAGAGTCTCACTCCATCGCCCAGACTGGAGTGCAGCGGCCGCACCTGGCCACCACAGCCTCGACTTGCTGGGCCCCAGCGATCCTTCCGCCTCAGCCTTCCGAGTAGCTGGAACTACAGGCGCGCGCTACCACGCCCAGCTGATTTTTTATTTATTTGTTTATTTGTTTATTTTTTGAGTTGGAGTCTCACTCGGTTGCCCAGACTGGAGTGCAGTGCCCGCTCCCGGCCACTGCAGCCTCGACCTGCTGGGCTCCGGC